TTGCGCCTTCTCGGCTTTCCGACGGCCCAAGACGGCCCAAGAGGCTCCCAAGATCGCTCCCAGATCGCCCAAGAGGCCTCCAAGATAAGATGGCCCCATGACGGCCCATGACGCCCCCAAGACCGCCCCAAGAGGGCCCGAAGACGGCCCAAGATGCCTCCAAGACGCCCAAGATGGCCTCCAAGACGGCCAAGATGGCTCAAGATGGCCTTCAAGACGGCCCTGGAACATTCAAAGAAGGGCCCCGAATCGGCCCAAAGAGGCCCCCCCAAGCGGCTTCCGACGGCGTTGGACGGGCCAGGAGCCCACCAAGACGGCCGAAGATGGCCCTAAGATGGCTCCAAGATGCACCCACGACGGCCCAAGATGGCCTCAAGATGGTCTACGACGGCCCAAAAGGCCCGCAAGAGGTCTCCAGACGGCCCAAGGGCCATCCAAAACGTCCTCCAGGAAGGCCCGAACTGCCCGAAAGGGCCAACATCATTGCTGTTCCTTAGGTTTTTGAAGGATTTTGGCATTTGCGCCTTCTCGGCTTTCCGACGGCCCAAGACGGCCCAAGAGGCTCCCAAGATCGCTCCCAGATCGCCCAAGAGGCCTCCAAGATGGCCCCATGACGGCCCATGACGCCCCCAAGACCGCCCCAAGAGGGCCCGAAGACCTGGAGCATTCCAAGAGGGCCCCGAGTCGGCCCAGAGAGGCCCCCCAAGCGGCTTCCGACGTCGTCGGACGGGCCAGGAGCCCACCAAGACGGCCGAAGATGGCCCCAAGATGGCCCAAGACGGCCCAAGAGGCCTCCAAGAGGGCCTCCAGGAAGGCCCGAAAAGGCCAATTGTGGCATTTGCTCTTTGTTCGGCCTTCCGACGGCCCGAGACGGCCCAAGTGCCCCCAAAGATGGCCCAAGAGGCCCAAAACGGCCCCAAGAGGCCCCCAAGACGGCGCAAGAGGCCGCCAAGACGCTCAAGATGGTCTCCAAGACTGCCCAAGAGCCCTCCAAGACGTCCTCCGAGAAGGCCCGAAAGGGCCAACATGGCCTCCAGACGGCCAAGATGACCTTCAAGATGCCCACGTGTTCCCCGAAGGCTTTCAACACCGATTCGGGGAACACATGGTCCGATAGCTTGGCAGGTCTGGTTTCAACGTTCGGCCACATAGGCGCTTCCAAGAAGGCAGGGGCCGGCGGTGATTCGCCGTAGGCGTCTTCGATAACGCCAACGTCCCAATCTGCGCTGATGATTCCTATCCGCCCCCGCATGACGTTCCCCGATGCGCCAAGGCAACGCCGAGACGCACCGACGCGACTTTGACATGTCCCATTCTGATACAGAGGGTGCCGGCGGCAGGGGGCGAAGCCCTTACGGATACAACAATGATCTGGAGCAACACAATCAACAAACGGCGGCTGACATGCACATGGAATTCCAAGCCTTCACGGAAAGACTCAAGATGTAGCACGAGACGAACATGCGAATGGATGCGCAACATCAGCTCCAGGAGCAGCAACAACACGAGATGGAGGAAAGCACACATAACGTCGTTGAACAAGACGTAGCCGCAGATATTGAGAGCAAACCTAAACAATCGGACGAGGAATATGCGCGTACTTGTGAAATGTTAACTACCTCCCAACACATGGCGGATATCAGATTGTGGAAACACTACGGATGGCCGAAGAGAAATACGGAAGGCTCGAAGCAGAACTGCAGACGCCGCATTGCCAGTATCAGCCCGACCAGTTCAAGGACCAGAAGTAGCAGAAGGCTACGGACCCAAAGGCGCAAGCCAGCAGGACCACCAGTACCAATGGTACAGCTCAAGGATGTTACGGTTGTTCCACGGGGCACACCAGGGCGACGTGCCCATCCGTACGGCGATCCCACGGGCGGCGAGCTGGAACCACCACCCACCACTGGATCAAGGGAGCGTGGACCACCTTTGAGGAAGAAGACTCGAGACTTGCACGAGACTTGCACAGCAAGCTGAACGCGATGCTGAAACACATGACGAACATTGTGAACTGGCAAGATCACATCGCGCATCATAACCTCAAGCCGTGAGAGAGTACGAAGATCGAAGGGTAGAAGCCTGGCTGAAGGATCAGCAGCAAGAAAAAAAATGAGACTTGGCGGATTTGCAAGAGCTGCAATCTATGGATCTCCAAACAGCTCTCAGAGAAGCTCTAGGCGGGCACGTGTCCGAGCAGAAACGCCTTCAGAACTCCCAAGACTTGGTGGGAATTTTCGAGGCCAAGGTGGTCAACAAAATGAGCTCCACGCCGCCACCTCCACTAAAGTAAGGGGACGATGCTGAGGAACGAGATGCGATTTGTCAGGTATGTGGGAGTATGGAAATTGGACAAGGCATTGCATAGTCTGCGCTTCTCCACGTGTGCAGCATGAAGGCGCCAACAAGATACTCTGCAAATCGATCAGAGTGGGCTTGCTATACCAGTACTAGGGCATGAAGGCAAATAAGGCTGACAACAAACCCCTACCAAACAAACGGGTCGTGCCATTATGATCGACGGAAGCCCCAGCATACCAGGTGAGCGTAAACCAAAGCATACCACCGTCGATGGCGATGACTGCGACTACCAGGCGGCGATCTTGGAGGATCAGGCGGAGCAGGACACGTTCCACGAGGCGATGAGGATGGAGGTGATCGCGGAGCTCGAAGCCATCGAGGATAACGAAATGAAGGGATGCAGAATATGAACCAATACTACAGCAAGAAACAGATCGTCTTCGGCAAGAACAGCAGCACCGTCTTCGCCAACTGGAGGAAGGAGAACTGGCAAATGGAGAAGGTTCGGAATGTGGCCCCTCAACGTGGCAAACTCCCTAACAAGAAATTACGGGCGGTGGTGCAGTATCCGCTACTGAGGATACCGACCGCAGTCTTCGAGTGAAGCGTCCTCCTGTCAAGACAGCGCGTCAACATCAAGATCCACAGGTGCATGAACTTTCGGATCGGAGCGCGACGCGCGCTCCTGGCACCAAACAGGACGCCTCCCGGGGTCTGTCCAGACCCGTTCTTTTGAGGCGGATCCAATCGTGGCGACGAGACTAGATGGGGTCCGAGTAGACGGGGTCGGAGACTCGCGCCGCATCGCCGATGCATCGGCGACGTCGGCGATGCATCGGCGCCGTCGGCGTGGAGAATGTCGGGCTCCACATCGAACTCCAACGGCGATGCATCGGCGATGCGGCGCGATCCTCCGACCCCATCTGAGGTGTGCGCCTACAGATTGTCAACTGGCAGATTGACTGACTAAAAACTCCACTGAACCATGCGATCTGTTTCGAGGTGCCATCAAGGCCGGCTGCTACCAGATCTCCGAAGAAACCTCATGTTCGACCTGGCGACTGCTGAACATGAGAACTGCAAAACTACCAATGGTAACGTGGAAAAATGCTGGGTTGGCGTGATGATCCGTGAGGGCTTACTGTGAGGATCTGCTCTTCTTCTCTCTGCAATTTTTTTCAGATCGGGGTCAAACAGGGATTCTGTGCGCCAGACACTATCAGACACTATCAGACACCGAATGGGCAAGGCAGTCAGCCGTTTTGCTGGTGGAAAACCACGACGAGTGGGTCGACTCGAGGGGGAATGGGACACCAATAGCGGCCAGGAGTCTCCCATAGCTTGTGGCTCAAGTTCCAGATCAGCCACTCGATTTTGTTCGCTTTCATATCGCTCCAAGTTTGCCATCGTGATGGTGCACCTCGTGGCCTGTAATGACGACGACGCCTGCCGCACGTTCATCACTGCGCTCGTCTCTGCTACCGAGGATGGCGCTCCTGCTCACAATCGGTCGTCTACGAAGGGCTGGATCTCAGCAAACGTCATCATGAGACCCAAATGCGACAACCATAAGATCGGCATCACCTACACGTTAACGACCAAGCGCATGCAATTTACCGCGTCAACTGCCATCGTCGACGCCGGCGAGGTTATGATACGTGATCTTGAGACGCGTTGCTCCCAGTACATGGACACCGAGGACGGCTCAAGACTCAATGTCATGCCACCTTCCGCCTCACTTGCGATCAAGGCGCTGAAGGAGCCCATGCCTCACGGCTACGTCATCCCTGGGGAACGCGCTCGAGCAGACGGCCCAGCACGAGCACTTGAATTACGAGCGCGGTGTGGACTTCGAGCTCGTCTCTGGTCGTGGCAGCTCAAGCAGACTGGCAATGTCGTCTGAAAAGGAGGTGCTACTGGGTGAGATCCTTCAAGAGTCGCGCCTGAGGCTGGTCAACCTTCCTACGCTGTGCCATCATCTGATGGCCATCATGATCAAGGATTTCTCCAACATGATCGAGGATGGATTCGATACTCTGCCCCTCAAATCACAGCTACTTGTTGATGTATACCCTCTGGCCTGGAGAGGCCATCCCTTTCTTTTCTGTCTGTCTGTCTGTCTGTCTGGCTGGCTGGCTGTCTGTTGTTTTGTCTCTCTCTCTCCCTCTTTCTCTCTCTCTCTCTCTCTCTCTCTCTCTCTCTTCTATTAGCAACACATGCTTCGAATCGTGCTTCGACGGACCAGATTCCTGGATGTTCTTGTTCGGAGCCGAGTCTTCACGAACATTAAATTTTGGGAGTGCTGATCTAGGGATCGCTGTTCCATGGCTAGACATGAAGACTCGCAACGTGTGAGAAAAAGCCAGTGGCAATCGAGCCGCTTTTCGCTTATCCCGCAGTGCTGTGCTGTCAAATGCAGTGCTTGTGCCAAAACGAAATCGTGAGTCACGTCCGTCCAATTTGCCCATAGCTCCACACCCGTGATCTTTTAAACAATGGGATGACAAGCTGGCCCTTGGGAAGTTGTCTAGACGTCTGGGGGTCCATGCGTCGAAACAATTGGAGCGCGGGATGTCTGGGAGGAAAGCTGAGGGGAATGAAAGAGCGCCAAGAACGTGCAAGGAACATGTCCAGGCAGCGTGGCCGATATTCGGTTCACGAAAAGGTTGTTGAGCGCCGTGCACTGAGCCCCGATGGTCCTCGAGCTTGATGCGCGCATAGCACCTGTTGACGTAGGCGGTCCGGCTGTTCTGCTCCAACCTCAGCGCCTCGGCGCGCGGCCAGTTGGCCACCCCCAGGTGAGCAACGAAGAGAAAGGGGTGCTACGCGGGATGACATAGCGGTCTTACGAGGCGGCTTACGCGGGTCGCCAGCGACGCGCGACCTTACTCGGGGAACATACGCGAGAATGTCCGAGCAGTCGAACCCGCTTTTCTGCATCGCTCAGGTGGCCAGGGTGCGGGGGAGGGCACGAGCAGCAGCGCATGCCCTCCCCCGCCACCCTCCCACACAATCAGCAGGATCTAGGTCGCCTAACTTCGCGCAGCGAGCTCCGCAATGCGCGATTACCTTCGCGCCCTCGCGCCGCCTCCCTGGAGGAGGGCAGACGCTCTTGCCCAGACTGCGGCGCGCGAAGCGCGATTAGCTTCGTGCCCCTGCGGGTGACTGGTGGATATTCGGGAGCGAACGCGCAGTGTGCGGCGCACGCAGGTGGGACTTCGCGTGATGGGCAGGCACGCGACGAACCCCCGCAGGTGGGGGCCTCGCGCCATGGACCCATCACGCGGTCGGCGGCCTCGCACGATGAGCGGGTGGGGCCTCGCGCGGTGGCCCCATCACGCCGTGATGGCCCACGCAGGCCGCTGGTGCGGCACACCGGCGCGGAAGTGGCGGCGCTCGGGCGATCCCGCGTGGGCAGCCTGTGCTCCAGTGCTGGCGCGGCCGACCCCCTCCCCTTCAGGTGGGGGCGTTCGACTGCTCGCGCGCTTGGAGCCTGCCCGAGAGAGCGTCGTGCCGATTGGAGCTCGCGAGGACGAACGTGCGGGCCCCCTCGGAACTCCGACTCTCACCGACCGAGCTCTAGCGTCGATCACGGGGGTCATGCAAGCCTGTGCCGAAGCCGGCGTGGCCCCACAGGAGGCGAGCACATCCTGCAGGGCGGGCCGCATCAGACCCGAATCCTGGCGACTGCGCGGGGTGGCGGGGCTGGGGGTCTGCCCAGATGCTGTGAGGACAATCCTGGAGGCCTCGCGCGGCAACTGGAGACCCAGTTTACGTCGGCTCTATCCTGCAGGGCGGACGTGCGGACTAGATGTTACAACTGCTGCGAGTCACGCGAGACCTCCAACATTCTCCTCTCAGTTGACGGCGCTCCTGACCCCCCCCCCCCTGGTAGGACGAAACCAGGACTGGGACAAATTCGGATCGGAATGCACAGGGGATCTCTGACATCTGGCATTTATTCTGGAGGATGTCTTGGGCGCCGCGGCCGTTCCAGAGCGCTCCCGCGCCGCATGTCCAATACGTACATCGCCGAAGCATCGGCCATACATCGGCACGTCGGCGATGCATCGGCGACGTCGGCGCGAAGAACATCGGGCTCCACATCGAACCGCATGGCCGATGCATCGGCGATGCGGAACGATCGTTCGGCCCCATCTACTCGGACCCCATTTGGGAGGCCTAGAGTTCAGGAACGATTCATCCCGGCCCTAGCCTCGCCCGACCCCGGGCCCCCAGCTGCAGCCGAACGGCCGTGTGCCTCGGTGCAGTCCGAGATCGTCCCCGCGTAGTCCGCCTTGGAGTGCTTGGCGGCGCCGCGGTTGCTCCAGGCCATCGCCAGCTTGGGGTCGAGCGTCACCTCGGAGCGGGGCGATCTGAGACAACGACAACTCAAAACAGGTCCCCAGACTCCTCCCGGGGCCCAAGCGCACCAGTTTTCCGAGCTGCGTCCAGCCGTGGCGACGAGGAGGCCTCCTGAGGCTGACTGCCGTTGTCTCAACTCGCCATCCTCTGATCACCGCCCGGGTGCAATCGTCGATCGCACCATCGAAGTCGTCGAGGTTCAGCTTGGCGACGCCCCGCCTCGCCCAGGCCCGGGCATTGCTGGCGTCCAGCGCCAGCGACTCGCACAGGTCCGCCAACGCCCCCCTGTAGTCGTGCTTTCGGACCTTGACCGCGCCGCGCGTTGAGAACGCCGACGCCGCGCTTGCGTCTCGCCGCAGCGCCTCGTCAGGGCTGAGATGGATCGAATCGCGAAGTCGGATTGGGTCGGAAAGGGATCGGATCGCCAGCGACTCGTCCCCGATCGTATCGAAATCGGATCGCCGCGCCTGGCTCTGGCTGGCACTGACCGATGCCGGTGGATCGAACCGAATCGGATCGGATCATAGGCGGCCCTGCCTCGTGCGAGTCCGATGCCGCGCCTTCCAAGTCGTCGCTGAGCACCCTGGCCTCCCCCCGGGTGCAGTAAGCCTCGACCAATTCTGGGTCCAACCTTCGGCTGTAGGCAAGAGCCACTCTACAACTATCGTGCTGCCATGAGGAACGCCGAATGAGGAACGAAGGGGCTTTCCGGGCAATGCCTCGGCCACGAGTACCCTCCCCGACCTAGCACTCAGCGACCGGGGGACCCCACTGTGGGCCCGCACCAAAGAGCCACTCCAGCGCCAAGGGTCACTCTTGGGCGTCGCCCGAGACCTCAGGGCCTCCGTGCAGGTGTCGATGGCGCCCTGCATGTCGCCCTTCCTGAGCCGCGCCAGCGCGTTGCTGCTCAACGCGTGCGCGTCGCGCCCCCCGCCCGAAGGCGGCTGCGGCTGCTTGGTCGGCTGCTTCCTCGAGGTGGTCGCCGCACCCGCGCCCATGGCTACCGACTGGGCTTAACGGCGAGCCGCGCGTCCGCGCGAGGCGTGCGCCGGGCTGCAGTGGTGGAGTAGGAGGAAGAGGAGGAGGAGGAGGAGGAGGAGGAGGAGGAGGAGGAGGAGGAGGAGGAGGAGGAGGAGGAGGAGGAGGAGGAGGAGGAGAAAGAGGAGGAGAAAGAGGAGGACCAGTGTAAACCCAAGAGTCATCAACGATTGGAATAAACCTTCCCTCCAAGCTCCCTCTTAATAGTCCCCTACATCGGTTCATTTCCACTGAGGGAACTGCCTCGTTGGAGCACAACTTTTTGAAGACCCTGACGGATGCCAAACCATTGTGCTCGGGATTCCAACGCCACGGATCAACCTGACTATTGCGGCTTCACGATCCTGAATCGTGCCAGAACGCCATTCCTGGGACTTCAACACCGCGAATCGACGTAACTGTTGCACCCTCAGAATCCAGAATCCTTCAACAACACCAGTTCTGGTACGCTGATCATAAGAATTCGTGAAACTCTTGCAAAATAAAAAAGGACTGCGCACGGCGCAAAGGCGAGAACCACATATTCAAGAGGAACCGCCCTCAGTCCGTGAAACTCTTGCAAATGTTTACAACGAATGTGCGCGGCGCTAAAGCGAGAACCACATTTTGAAAACAACCCGCCCTCAATCCGTGAAACTATTGCAGATGTTCGAACGAATGTGCTTAATATGTGAAGCTGTCGCACATGTTTAAACTTTAGGGTCATACATTGTGAGGAAGTCTCAAGCGAAACGCCCGGCCCGTGCTAAAAAACTGGCCTCGGGGTGCGACAGGGAAAAGTTATCTATAAGGGACAAGAATGGAGGAGGAGAAGAGAGGAGGATACGAAGGAGGCAAGGAAGGAGGAGAAGGAGGAGGAGGAGGACACGGAGGAGGAGGAGGTGGAGGATGAGGAGGTGAAGGAGGAGGAGGAGGAGCAAGAGGAGGGAAGGGGAGGAGGAGGAGCTGTTGCATCGACGTCTGGGATGTCGCACAGTGCCAGCGGAGAAGGCCTGCGTCTTGACAAACAGAGAGCAGCTGGACTGCCGTTCACGCGGAGGCGGAGCGCTGGGAAGACCTGGTGCCACACATCATGTACCCAGCTCCCACCATGGTCAGCAGCGCCATGTGCCTCCAGCTTCCTGGTGGCGGGGCTAAGGGGGGGGAATGGTTCTGTGGTGCTAATCCTGGCCAGCCGCGACGAAGCTGGGCGAACTGGGGCCAGTCCCGCCGACGGCACTCCAAGCTTGACCAAGTCCTGGCCTGTCCGCATCATCAGCTTTGCCGTGAACGCCAGCCTGGCTTCAGGCGGAGCGCTGCTGAGGAATCCAATTACCTGACGACTCTGTGGCAACTGGGATTACGGTCAAGAACTTTTGCCCAGCGTGCCGCGGCGGCGGCCACGGCGACAGGCTATGCCGTGCAAGCGGACGGCGTGTCGCTCCGCCCCGCGGGGCGGGATGCTGGGAGAGGCTTGGACCGCTGACGCTTGGGGAAATGGGGGCGTGGTTAGCGTGCCGCGACAGGGTGTGGTGGGCCAGAACTGGCCCCCCAACGTGGCCCCTTGGTTTTCGGGTCCTTATACTCGGCTCTCCAGCGGCCGTTCGGGACTATCCGAGCACCCCCGGAATGCCCTCGGCGAGGCGCAGCAGCTGGAGAGCATTAAACCGACGAGAACTGACGAAACCACCTGAACACCTCGAACTTTGGCGAAGTACGTTAACATTCCCGACCGCAGTGCCTAAGCCCAGGGGAGCGGGGTGCGGCGCGCCAGATTGGCGGTCGACGGGCGCGTTGCGCCGAGGCGGGCGCGCGCTGGCCGCCGCACGCGTGGCGCGGCTGGCCGACCAGGCCAGCCCTCCTAAGCATACGCGCGATCCGTGCGGGACACTGAGCCCTCCCCCAGTCGTCGTCTTCGTCGTCGTCCTCCTCCTCCTCCTTCTCCTCCTCCTTCCCCCTTCCCTTCCCCCTTTTCCATCAGTCTGTTACTTGTGATGTCGTTGAAAGCATGACCTTTACGGAGCCCTCCACCAATCGTCGTCGTCGTCCTCCTCCTCCTCTTCCTCCTCCTCGTCCTCCTCCTCCTCCTCATCCTCCCCACTTTCCTCTTCCTCCTGCTCCTCCTCTTCCTCTTCCAGGTCCCCGTCCTCGTCCTCTTCCGCTGCCTTCCCCTCCTCCTTCCTTTCCCACTGCCCGTTCCCCCTTCCTTCTACCCTCCCTAGTTTGTTCCCCCTTGCCTTTCTCTTCGTCTTCACATCCGTTTTCCTCTCCCTCCTTCCATTTCCTCGTCCTTCTCCTCCTCGTGCCCCTCCCCCCCTCCTCCTGCCGCTTCTCCTCATCCTGCTCATCCTTCCTCCTCCTCTCCTCCTCCTCCTCCTTCTCCTCCTCCTTGTTTCTCTCCTCGTCCTCCTCGTCCTCCTCCTCCTCCTCCTTTCCTCCTCCCCTCCCCCTCCTGATTAGTTCTCCCTCTCCCCCCTTTCTCCTCCCTCTCTCCCTCTCCCCATTTCTCCGTCTAACTACCTTCCCGTCGGCCCTGCACGCGAAGCCCGCGCCGAGTTGGCTCGGTCGTCAGGCCTCCTCCTGGCGCGCGCGCGTGTCAGGAGACGAGGAAGATATGATGACGAAGGAACAACAAGGAGACGGCGAGGAGGGAGCGAGGAGTGATGATGAGGAGGAGGGATGACTGGGGGATGGGGATGGGGACGGGGGTGATGATAGGGATGCTGCTGCTGCTGCTGATGATGATGATGATAATGATGATGACAATGCTGATGGTGATGCTGTTGATTCGGATGATGCTACTGATGATGCTGATTATGATGATGATGAGGAGGAGGGTGTTGCTGCAAATTATGCTGAAGCCGTTGATGATTATTGTGATGACGAAATGATCATGAGCACGATCATGATGATGAGTATGATGATGACGGTGACGAGGCTGCTGCTGATGATGCTAATGATGATGTTAATGAGGATGCTGATGATGGTGATGGTGGTGGTGCTGCTGATGATGGTGATTATGATGATGATGATGATAATGATGATGATGATGCTGATGATGATGATGATGATGCTGATGCGGATACGGATGCGGATGATGATGATGCTGATGCTGATGCTGATGATGATGATGATGATGATGATGACGAGGCTGATGATGAGGATGATGACGCTGATGGTGATGCTGATGATTATGACGATGCTACTGATGATGCTGAGAATGATGATGAGGAGGAGGAGGCTGCTGCATATTATGCTGATGCTGTTGATAATTATAGTGATGACGAAATGGCCATGAGCATGATCATGTTTATGATGATGCGTATGCTGATGACGGTGACGATGCTGCTGATGATGATGTTACTGATGATGCTGAAGATGATGGTGGTGGTGATGATGATGATAGTGATTATGCTGATGCTGATGATGCTGCTGATGATGGTGATGATGCTGGTACTGATGATGGATGATGATGATGATGATGATGATGATGATGATGATGATGATGAGGATGAGGATGATGATGCTGATGATGATGAGGATGCTGAGGATGATGATGCTGATGGTGATGCTGATGGTCGTGGTGGTAATGATGAAAACGAGGAGGCTGAGGAAGGGCGGAGGCGGAGGATAAGAATCGGATCGGGAGGAGGAGTGATGGATGGGGTGAGGGTGTGGAGGAGGAAAGGAATAAGAGGCAACGTCGTCGTCATCGCCCTTCTCCTATTCCGCCGCTTCTCCTCTTCGTCTTCCTCCCCATCACCCTCGTCGTCGTCGCCGTCGTCGTTGCCGTCATTGCCGTCCTGCCTCCCTCCTGGCAGTCGTGGTCGTCGCCGCCGCGGCCGTCGTCGCTGCCGCTGCCACCGCCGCTGTCGCCACCGTCGTCGCCGCCGCCGTCGTCGGTGCCGCCGCCGCCGCCGCAACCGCCGCCGCCGCCGCCGCCGTCGTCGTCGTCGTCGTCGTCGCCGTCGTCGCACTCGGCGGGTCCTTCCGCGCGGTAGCGGCCGCGTCGCCCCCGCCGCTAGGAGGGCTGCTGTCGCCCGGGCCCCCTGGCGCAGGGTCCTCCAGAGGGCGGGAGCGGGGAGAGGTGGGGAGAGAGGAGGGGGGAGGAGTAGGAGGGGTGAGGAGAGAGGAGGGGTAGGGAAGGAGGAGGAGAGGGGTGGGGAAAGAGGACGGGTGTGGAGAGAGGAGGGGAGGTGGGGGGGAGGAGGAGGAAGAGCCAGAGGAGGGAAGGGGAGACACACGGGGAGGAGAGAGAGGATGAGGACAGGCTAGAAGGGCTCGCACCCTGTCTGACGTTCGACCCCTCCCCCCATCTCTTGCCATTGCGTAGGGCCCCGCTCCATTTGTATGGTCCGGTGTCGAATACAACATTGATGCCGAAAAGGTAGGTGCCGCACAGCATAGCATGGCGTCGGAGAGCACGGCAGAGCGTAACATGGCATAAAGTGGTGTGGCATTGCGTAGCCAGGCATTGCATATCATAGCATTGCGTAGCAAAGCATGGCAACGCACAGCGGTTCATACGATAGCACTACTTTGCATGCCATGGCATGGCGCTGCACACTGTGTAATGGTATGGTGTTGTCGCCAAGCATTGCGTACCACAGCATTGCAGAGCGAGGCTGGACATCGCATAGCGGCACACAACATAGCATGGTATCTCATGCCACGCCATAGCGCTGCGTAGTACAGCATAGCATCGCGTTGCGTAGCCCAGCATTGCCTACCACGGCATTGCAGAGCAATGCCTGGCATCTCGTAGCAGTATGTACCTATACCATGCCATTTGTATACCCTGTCAGCGCTACAATTGCACCATGGAGAAAGACCAAAACCGCAGAAATGAATCCAATGCTGAGGCGGAAACGCAATTTTGAAGAACCGAGAACGTGAATATGAAATCAATGCTGCATCGGGAGTACCCTCTGAAGGAGCGGGAATGATCGGATGGGGAAACACATCGGAGTTATACTATTTG